GGATATCGATAGCAGGGTACCTGAGACCAGGCTGAACAATACGACAAGTTGATGCAATGAAAGACATAGCCTGCTAAAAGAGGAATAAACATTGTCCTCTCTGCTGAGAAGACGTGTAAGCATGGTAATCTTTAAAGTGAGTGTGCCGGTCGGATACTCTGGTTAAGAGTAATGGATTGGGATTGACGGTGCGTGCTTGTTTCGTTAGACAACTTTGAACGGGTGTGGGCCTTTGTATTTTGTTCTTTTTTCTGTTTTTACATTGTGTCTTGTGCTTAGTAATTAATTTAATTTTATTTCTTCTGATAGTGATTGACAAATAATGTGTGCATGATTAAAGACTCAGGAAAATTACTCTCGTCCATACACCTTTTATAGATTTTTTTTAATGTTTCTAAATGGGGTACCTCCCATTTTCCATACCATTTAATAAGCATAGCAACGCCACACAAGCACCTCTTTGGTTCAATGCCAAGTGTCAAATTAATGGAGACTGAAAGTAAAAGACAATGTTGAGGATCATAATACTGGAAGGGATAAGAATGTGTCGCCAAACTACTTAAATCAAAGAAAGACAATTATATTTTTTTTCTATAATTGACGTCTCTGGATCTCTGAGAAAATTAAATTTTTGCTAGGAATTATCTTCAACACTATGGATGAAATAAACTATGTATTCTCAACTTTTTTTCTGTGGAAGGTATGCCATTATGACATGATGCCTGTGTAGCCATTAACGAATGAAATTATAATATTTAATGGCTTGACCATACGAGGTATTCCCACCTTGTGTGATATGACATCGTAGTTTGGCCAAATCTGGTCAAAGTGAAACCAACCTAATGCATGCTCTTCCTTATGTGAGCTTCATCTAAAAAAGAAACAGTTGAAGATGCTAAAGTGTATCCTGGCCTGTTCTAGTGGCCATGCTTATTTCTTTTCATACAACCGTCTCTGGTATGGTGCAAATCTCTTGTTCACCCTGTGTTTTAGAGTTGCTGATGCTGACAATTTTTTTTATTGCCTTGTGTGTTGGAAAGAAAATTAGCATCTTCGGATGTGCCAAATGAGGAGCGGATCAATCTTATCAAAGATTTAGAGAGGAAGGAGACTGAATATATGCCATGAAAAGTCAGTGTTAATGATTTTTTAACTTTTGAACCATCATTTGAGGGGCTTTTTTGTGGGAAGGTTGTATGCCTTGCCGTGCATTTTTTGGTGTTCATGAAAATTCTTGCTGATAATATGCATATATTATTATTGTGTTTGTCTACAAATGTAAATCTCTTGTGCTGGGCTGCTTACTATTTAATGCTATTATTTTATCTACTTTGTTCTTACAGTCGACTGTGTCGGAGAAGAAATCTGAAATATTTATGCTAATAAAAAGCTGAAGAAATCTATCTGAAATGCTTAGTAGAGCAGGTGGGAAATTACACTTGCTAAGTAGAACGAAAAGTACAAATTACTAATGATGTGGATGGTCCATATGTAATACAGACTTGCATGTAATTTATATTCTTTCATAGTCCCTTAAACGTTCTGTTGTTGCTGAAATGTAATATTCCAATGTTAATATGGGGTTATACTGTCTCCATTTTGGAAGGATCACCCATGTTAGTGGATGAACTAATGGCGCTTGGAAGATGCCTTATTCGTTATTTTATTACAGGTGAAACATGTTAGAGCTGAGAGGAAGTTGCTGGCTGAGGTTGCCAGTCATTGCACTGTGAAGCTTTACTACTCATTTCAGGATACTGAGTACTTGTACTTTGATTATGGAGTCTGCCTGGGGGACATTATGACACTGCTGATGAGGGAAGACACCTTAAGTGAAAATGTTGCTAGATTTTATATTTCACAAAGTGTTATGGCCATAGAATTATTCACCAACACATTACATTACACACAGGTTCAGTTTTTGGCTGTGCTCTTAAAGTTTTAGCTTTATATTTTTTACATGGTTGATGGTTTATATGGTGATGATGAAATATGTTGTTTTTTGTTTTTTTTGCATGCTAGACAAACATATTAATATTTTCACTTGTCATCTATTTTTCAGAGATATTAAACCTGATAACCTACTTCTGGATAAAAATGGTCACATGAAGCTCTCTGATTTTGGTCTCTGTAAGCCTCTCGATTGTATTGCCTTGTCTACACTGCATGAAAATCAGACCATGGATGATGAGACATTGGCAGAGCCAATGGATGTTGATGGATGTTTGCGTGATGCCGGACAATCGGAGCAGCTGAGAAGTCCTCGTCAGCATTGGCAGATGAACAGGAGGAAGTTGGTATGCTTTAGTTATTTAAACCCAAGAAGATATTTTCATAGAGATGGTCCTAACTTTCTTCTATGACACTCATGTCTCTGTATTTGGTTTCATAGTCTGGGTTTGGATTCTGTGGTCTAAATCAAAACCTGCATTGATATTAGAAGATTCCTTTTCTTCTTTGAATGATACAAAAGTAAAACAGAAGCTAGAATCTAACATTATGTGTCCTATTTTTGGGAGGTGGGGGGAAAATTTTCAGAGTTCTTTAAGGAAAAAATGGTCTTTGAAGGCTCTAACTCACACTTTTATATTTGAATTAGGAAAATGGGGAGTTTAACATTTTTTAAGCTATGGTCCAGTCCTAAATTGTGAAAGTGACCGTCCCCCTAATGTTTTCAGTCCTTATTGGTAATGGTTTGAGGATACTGTACCTTGGGCTGCTATGCAATTATTCTCTTTAGTAAGACCTTAGTTCTTGATGACGGTTGTTGTTGAATCCATTGCACATAAATTATGCTTTTCAATTGCATGGTCTATAGTTACTATTGCACTTCTTATTCTAATACTTCTGAAATAAGAAAGCCTTTCATTGCACTCTGTTTCCTTGTTTCATGTTTCAAGGCATTTTCAACAGTGGGGACACCGGATTACATTGCTCCTGAAGTACTTCTGAAAAAAGGCTATGGGATGGAATGTGATTGGTTAGTTCTTACCTGAAGTATTTCTGTTTTAGACCTTGTAAACTTATCAGCTGGGAGGATTGCTGCTCTTTTTTGTTGTATTTTAATCAATAAGCTGTAGTTATGTGAATGTGTTTGGCCTGGTCATTTGAATTTGTACAGTTTTTTTTAATTGGCTTGATCATTTGGCAGGTGGTCACTGGGAGCAATAATGTATGAAATGCTGGTTGGTTACCCACCATTTTACTCCGATGACCCAATAACCACTTGCAGAAAGGTACCATTCTTAATTGGTTTAAAGACTTCACATTATAAATTAATATATTATTGCATCTCATATGTAGTTTAGTCTGACGGGGACTTGATACTTTGCACCATTTCCTATTGTTACCCCTTCTATTCTTTCTTAAACTCATTCTACCTCTTTACTATGTCCTCTAATGAAATCCTGGAAAACCAAAGGGAGACAAGCAGTTTAAGCTGATGTATGAATTGACACTGTCTCCTGTTGTTAGTACAAGTATTCTTTGAGACTCAAATATTTTATCCCCTCTCTCTATTCCCCTGATAAAACACGACAATTAATAAAAACCGGGATAGGTGACAAAAAATGCCTGATGTTAGTTGGTTCATTGGTCGGACACTGTTTCAATCATTTCAGTTCACCACTTGTGGCAACCCTCATTGCACAATTATTTAATTTAAGAATAAGACTGTGAAAAGTTAACTAAATTAAGACACCAAGGTTTTAACTTGGATGGAGCTGGACGGGAGGTTAGGTTTATTTATTTATTTTTGAATTAGGATGTTTATAATTTATAGTAATAGTTTATTTATTTATTTTTGAATTAGGATTATTATATTGTATTATTAAATAATAAGGAACATTCGAAAAATGAATCTATTGGAGATGTGATAAAACTATTTATGTGCCGTCACTAATAATAACTCTAGCTTTTTGGGAGATGTGATTTTTAAAACAGTAAAAGATCATTTGCTCGAAAATGATCTTGAGTTTGATTTTAAACAAGTTGTTGATCTTAGCCACCTATTTTAAATAGTAGTTAAGCTCAAGGTAAGGGGGACCTCTATAAATCCCCCAAACAAAAAAAAAACATCTGTGTCTCAAGCGCCGTCCGCTTTTCTGTGAGGGAAAAATGTAAAGAAGTATTAATTGGATGTATTTTGCGCCTTTAGTTATGTTACCCAGAAGAGTCAGTGTCCCAGATTCTGTTTCACCCCCCCCCCCCCCCCCCCCCCCACCCACCCTTTTTGGTTGGCACTAAGTTCACTAATTGTTTTCAGATTGTTTCACTGGCGAATCATTTAAGTTTCGCTGAAGATACCCATTCACACTTGATGCAAGGATTATTATAGGTTGCTGTGTGATGTTGATCATAGGTTTAGGTTACTCGAGGGGCCCAAGAAATAAAGGTAAGTGTTTTCATTTTATTTTACTTATTCTAATATTGCCGAGATGCTGTTCAGCCTCTTTTTTTTTTTTTTTTTTTTTACCTGTCATACTAATATAACGTTTGTATATACCAGGCTCATCCTTGGTTCCATGGTGGTGGAGTGGGGAGAACTGTAATGAATGGAGGCAGCATTTAACCTCAAGTCAACGGGGAGCTGGATACCAAAACTTCATGAAGTTTGATGAGGTATAAAATAGGAACCACACGCTATCCCATTATTTCTTGTTCTGTAATATTTCTTACAGAAGAACTGCCACGAATTGGTTGGAAAAACTGCATATAGCTAATTTTGCCGTTAATCATTTTTAAAATTGTGCTTCAATGTTACCCAGTGATTAGGGTGTAAGTGGGTTTGCGCCCACCTGGTACCCACTAATCCAACCAATCCTATTTCACTATTGTAAGTTTGAGTTGGGTTGTGAATTTTTTAGTGCAACCCAATTAAGAATTGGTTTTTTCTTCATTGAGTTAGAGAGGCCATGACTCGACCAGCCCAACTGATGTTTCTTATGTGTCTAATAATATTACTATAACATGTATATTTTTTATAATATGAAGTGTGTCAATAAGTATTTTTTTTTTACCTTATAAATATTAAGAAACATTAAAAGTATTTATTTTGACAATTTTTTTTCCAAAAGGTGATAATATTTTTAAAATTATCCCATTTGATGCTCCAGTCCAACCCAATTATAACAGGTTTAGGCTGAATTGGGTTGTTAAATAAAATAAAGTTGAACTCAGTCCAACCCAATTATTTTAATTGGGTTGAGTTGCAAACGAGATTAAATTCAATGGAATCCAGACCTGCAACCAGCAATTTAGCTTGACGTATTGTTAAATGTTGATTTGTCTTGGCTATATATTTCTAAATTTTGATACTCTTTATGGCTAATATGCTTTTAAAATGCTTGGATTGTACTATATGTAGAAGTTTGTGGGAATCTTTGTACTAAAAGTGAAGGTTTACCAATGGGCAGTTAACATCTTAAATGTATTTTCCGTTCAATCTTGGACAGAGATTTCAAATTTGTACATTGAACCTGTTATTGTTACTTTTCCTCTCTAATACAGTTTCAGAACCCTTTCTTCTATAAGTTCCTTATGCTTGTTCTTTCCAGTAAGACATACTACTTGCACTAAGAGTTCTTTAATCATCTTTCCACTTTGATGACATTTTTTGATATATTCTTGATTGCGTATAATGCCCATGTTTATGGAGTGTAATTAGCTGTAAAAAACCTTCATGATTTTCTCATTGTATGCTTTGGTGAATTATTAGGTGGATCCACCAACAGCGGCAAGAAGTGGGTCTGGATTAGTTTTTTTTACACTTTTTTTTCCCTAAATTTGTTTACTATCAATTGTTATATGTGAAGACATGTTATGGAATTGTTTGGGTAAATTTCCATCTTTACTTTTAGGTGAAGAAAAAAAATTTAAATAGACTTCCCCATAAACTCAAAATAGTTATGTATGATTTAAATATTACCTTTTAGAAAACGGTATACTTTCTCTCGTCCATTTGGTTTCACTGATTTGTGATACTTTTTCAATACCTTTGCTGATAACAGTTAAAAGTGATACGTGTTATGAAAATAATTTTTTGTTTATTGTTCTTTATATCAAAACTATTAGATGGTGAATATTCTTTTCATAGAATAAGCAAGATAACCGTTCGTCTTCTTGAAATATATCTACTTAGGTTAGTGCATTTAATGGCTTAAAAAGGAAGGAATTTGTTGTATGTTTCGCACCTATCAAGGGTGGTAATCAATGGATACAAACCATGTTGCTTCTATAAATTTTTGTAAAAAAATGGGGAAACAAATAGCAATTTGTTTGAAAATTGATGGAGATGCAATACGTCATCAACAAAAGTCTGCAGTAGAAGAGAAAGAAGGTTTAGGGAATGGATAGCAATGGTTTTCTTGTCTCTACAGAAGGGACAATTGACATCAGGATAGTGGAGATGAGGGCGTGGCAATGACAGGAAAGGACATGTAGAGTGTGTGGAGGATGGGTAATTGGGTAGTGGCTGGGGTCACAGGGAATGCCCTGTTTCTATCCATGATATCTTTTTTATTTTATTTTACCTTTATACGTTTCCTGCAAGTTCCACTGTAATCAGAGCTTTTCCTCTTAATTTCTTTCTTACTGTTGGTGAAAGATAAATGCATATATATTTATCCTATTTATTATTATTATACTCTATTTGGGTTTATCATAATTATATTCTGTTTAGAGTTATGATTATAGTGTGTTTAAATTACTGTAATTATCATGATTATATTGTGTCTAAGGTTATCCTAATTATCATGTACTTTTGTATTAATTTATTTTTATAAATAAAAAATTACGAGAGAATCAATCAAATCTCTAAAATTATTTTACAGTTTAATTTTTTGAGTCATATTATGTTTTTAATTGATATTTTTTTTTTCTTATATGGGATCATGATTTTAAAAACAGTTTGTTGATCACAATTATCGTCACCAGATGCAAATGTGTACATCCCATATCTCACGCTGGATATTCATAATTTATATATTGTAACATTAACTTTCGGTAATTCCCGTAATCTCAACACTTATAAAATTCATAGTTAATATATTTTCTAACACATGTTTTCAACTCAGATTCAACTATAAACTCATAATATAATTCGCAATTCTTTTTCGAATTCTTCTACTTATTCTTTCCTGTCTCTCTCTTCATTGACATTGGATAGACAACATTCTTCATCTGCTCCCCCGTATAACGAATTATCGATCCTCGCACATACCCCACACAAAACAAACACTAACAAGTAGGGTAAGCTATAACTGCACCAATCATTTTATGAAACAATGCATGCAAACCTCATATAATAATGATTTCATACTACTCATACCATCATACACAATCACATCATACATACTCATCCATTACTTTGATACCACATGGTAAAATGCATCACAGACTTGTTTTACTTTATAACCCACTCGTCCGGACCAGAATGATTACCGAGCTATTGCGGTCCTTTGCACTCGTGGGCTTTATGAACCTTGCACTAAACCGCCTTATGGAACTTGGCACTACCACCCGCCTTATAAACTTCTTGGGCACTCTACCGCCTTAATGGAACTTGGCACTACCGCCTTAATGAAACTTGGCATCTACCACCGCCTTATGGAACTTTACTTTTGGCCCACCACCGCCTTATGGAACTTGGCACTACCGCCTTATGGAACTTTGGCACTACCGCCTTATGAAACTTTGGCACTACCGCCTTATGAAACTTTGGCACTACCACCCGACCACAGTCACGAGGTTAATCCGTTATCACTCACCTTGGATCATATGAAGCACCCAAGACTAGTACCCTCCTGCTACTCTCACACATGGTTCAATCCCTCTCTACATGAAAGAAAGACCATTGGAGTTTCAGAGACCCCCAAAACCTGAGCTAACCATCATCATTTTAATACACCCCCAATTACCACCTTTATCCTCTCCTTGAGGACATGGATTACGTTCATGAATCATACTATTACTTTGAAACTTAACCCAAGACATGAATAACCTTAAACCACGTCATTTCACCGTTAATCTACATATCTCATACATTCACATACTTTCCACATAATTCACAATCATGTTCAGATGCATAAATTCAAATGCAATATAATAAAATACAATCATCGCATAAATCACACAACTCTATATTCCAACAAGATATATTACACAATAATTTAACAATACATAATCTGTTCAATAGGATTTAAGTTAAAAACTTGTCGAGTAGACTTCCAGGAAAGAGAGGTGCGTCACAATGAACAACTTAAGTACCAAGTCTTTCCTTAGCCAAAGTGTTCCTCAACTAGTTTTTAACAAATTTCTTATTTACAGATTCAAAACAACGCCCTACATATTTTACACCGAATTTCAACATAGATTAAACAACAGTACTCATTAACAGTACTTACAACACAGAATTTCAAGATATGAATAGTATAAAACTTACTAATCATAATATAAAAGCATAGAAAATTTACTCCCCTGCCTCTATTCCAGACTTACTCTCCTGCTCCGAATTGTTTCACCTCCTCCTTTCCCCGAAACCCTTTCAGAACCTCTACTCTTCTTGCAACTAAAATTTCTCCCTCACTCTTTCTTTCTTCTCTATTTCTCAAGCTCTCACTTGATCCGCTTTTCTTGGTGCAAAATATTCTTCCCTCCTTGCTATTTT